TCCATACAAAAGAATAGGCTGAATTTGACAATCAAATAGTTTAAAGTAAATACTGAGCGTCAACACACCAATTTTGCACAAGGCAGATAAAAGACTTATCAATGAATGGTCAATACTTCCATGAACGAACTGAATTTGCTTTATGTCGTACAGTTATTTCCTAATTAATTATTTCCGACGTTTGAAAATTTCGGGGCGATTTACATCAACTTAGTTGCAACATTGTTTTTAATTTTGCAAGAAATATAAGAGAGAAAAATCGTATACATTTGTGCCATAGCGGTTGTTCTATGTGAAATGTTTGACTTGCTGTTGTTTGGAATTAAAGACGTTTCTGTGGTGTGTCTGCGCCGACTTTCCGTAATATGGTGGCTCTGTAGGCATGCAAACGTTTTTCTATGTGCTTTGGGTCTTGGTCGCATATTCTATCGTTATGTTCTCTATATCACAACGAAGTAGAGGTACAACGAGATTGCTGGAATAGAGCTAAAAGCCGCATAAAACTTAAAACTCATTCTCACTCAATACATTGATTATATATAACTGCATCTTCTACTAGAGAAGTTGTCACCCATAGAGCATCGTGAGTTTATTGATGTTAGACACCGAAGTGTTCGTGAGCAACAGCTCCTGTTATATTTCCTTGTTTCCCTTCTTTTCTAACTGGTCTAGTTTAGTGTAAACACTGAAACTTCTCTAATGTATCATATGTTCTGTCCGACACATGCAATGCCAAAATGGAACTGTGACTTTGTGTCGCTTTAGCTTTTAAAGTCTACTGTGATCTGATTTCTTGAGGAAATAATCATTATTTTTGAACGTCGTTAAAAAAATAATATTTGTATGTTTGATACACAAAATATGTTATATACAATAACCATCAAATCGCCAATTGCCTTCCACTGATTTACCAACCTGAACTTGAAATTAAGGAGACAGATGAGACAGCCTCAACTGTTTCATATTTAGATCTATGCTTAAGATTTAGAGTGACAAAAAACACTCTCCTCAAGTCTGTATGACAAAAGGGATGATTTCAACTTTCCAATAGTCAGCTTCCCTTTCATGTTGACCAACAGCTCCAGCCTTTGGTGTTTACATTTCACAACTTTTGACGTACAATTGAGGATGCCCTTTTTCTCAGGATTTCGAAGAGCGTCATGCCACTCTTGCTTAGAAGTTGTTTCATCAAGGTTACAACATTCAAGGCCTCAATAAATGAGTTGGGTTTTACGTCACATGGGCATGATTTCAACAATATAGAGACGAGACCAAGTCTGCATTCATACACATTTTAAGTACAAGGTACAAATGAGTTTCTTGAAAAAATATACAATCATTATAATATATTGTAAACCAATAGTGAGCGCTTTCCGCAATTTGATTGGTTAATTACCCTTATCGAATATTGTTCGACATACCTGAAAATGATGGCCTAATAACTGCACATTAATACGTTGGCACCAATACCGTACACTTTTCGCTGCATGAATTTGCATAATTGAGAAACATTACCACCGCAAATTCTCTCTCTGGGATTTTGATACAATCTTTGAAGACAACAAATTCTTGGAAGAATTATTCAAAGATAAGGGTGTATACAATCACATGGCACATATGTGATCAGATAATAGTTAAGTGATTGAAGAGCCATAAAATAATATCCTTCAATGATGTTTATTCACAAATGAACTGCTCCGCAAATTTCAAGCATTCGTGTATTTAATTTGGTACAATATTCCAAGTTTAAAGATTGTTATTCAGCCAAAGAATAGCTTAATGATACTTGTTTCTAGATATTGATCTTCCAAAATACACCAATCCCAGCACTCCGGACGTTTCCACTTCGAAATTCCAGCGTTGACCCGGCTCCATCTTGTACACCGAGCGTCCCTCCACAGTCCCGCTTTGCTAAGGTTGATGAGAATGGCCTGAGGGAAATAATTGATGGGTCACTATCGAAAGCAACTGAGAGAAATACAATTTGCTTCAGAGGTGTGCAAAGTTTAACATTTTGTAAATAAACCAAAAGGAAGTTACATGTTAGTTACCTCCCTTTCGCTAGACTGTCACCCGGCTTCTAAACAGAATTACCAAAGGCATAAAAGCAAATATAGTTATTATTTCTCAAAAACAGCTTTCAACAAGATTTACATCTGATCTAACACTGAATGATAATATCATGATATACTAAAATATCAAAAAATGAATACTGACTGGTAATTATGAAAAGGTACTAATGCAGTCTAGGAAATCCCACTGACACAAGCCCAAGCATATCAAAACAATTAAAAATGTTGAAATCTTACCTTTTGTGTCCGGTTTCATCCTAATCCCCCTCCAAACCTACCTAAATCCTACTCAACATATAATAAACTTATGATTATGTCAACCCCTTATACCTACTCCCGAAAATAACAAGATAAAACCTACTTATTCTTATGCTATTTCTCCCCCTTCCCAAGCTATCACTAAATCAACACGACATTACCTAAAAACAATAAACAATAAGTGGAAACTTAATCTGGTCTTGATACAAGACTCGCGGTCGCAGAGAATTTACCCGATTCGGGTATCGGACGACTGACGATACCCTACCTAGGGTAGGCTTATATAGCCGACATCGGACCACATGACTGGGGAAATCCAGAATTCGGCCAATGCGCACGCTCCTTGCATCTCTGCCCCTCAAGATGGTGGAGCATGCAAGAAGCGTGACATCGTCCTGTCTCCCCAGCCACGAGGTCCGCATGGGCCTAAGCTTCTACATATAGAAATACTAAAGGTAGGTACTACGTCAGCAGCCCACCCAACTACCTAACCTACTCCACCCACTATGAAACTATTATATTAATTTATTATTTAACCCCCGAGACGCCCACAAAGTTTAAAATCATACTGCACCGAATCCAACAGTGTACAGAAGAGGTCGTACTCGGCCATTTTGCAGGGGTCTGATCGCCAACGCGTCGATTCTCGGGCCGTTGCCACTGTTTCATCATCTTGGCTCTTTTCACACTTGCAAAGTTCTTCAATTGTAACCGCGATGGGAATGTTTCAGGGCATACACAATTCTACCATAAATGTCAGCTTCGTTAATCGACAGTAGGCCTAACTTTACACGATCAAATCCTTATGGTCATCCTTGATTGGATCAGTATACGTAAGATTACATTAGGTGGAGAAGGGAGCATAAAATGGAATTCTTTCATTGTCATTGCGGTTCCAGTGTAATGTTACTCATCAAGTTTAATTTTAAAAATGACTGAATACATTTTGTTTTGTGTATTATATTGACTGTTATTCATTTCGAACATGACGTAACCTATCTAACCCATTACGTAATAGCGTAACCCTTCTTTTGTCGTTTCTCGTATCTGGGGCGACAGCGAACTTGACCACGAGAGGCTAACCGCATTGCAACACACGATCTCGCTACATTCAAAGAGCTCCTTGGAAATAGGTTTCTCACTACAAATTGTTTTACAATATCGATAAATAGTTTGGTTTGTTTAATTTCTGTGATTCATTGGAATGCAACATAGGCAAATTTTAGCGTTTAAAACCATTGAACAAACCAAACTATTTATCTTCTAATTCATTAATTACTATTTACGAACAGAATATGTCATAGCATAAAATTCTAAAACAAGCAATCTGTCATTCACGGTACATAGCTACAATTTATGATACAGATTAATTTCCCTTAAGTAGTTCAAAATGGTGGTCAGGTGGAGGAAATGTCCAAATTCGATGCATACGTGACAAAAAATTATGTCCGATGCAATTCCATATGTTGACTTATACCATACGTTCCCGACTTACTTCAGGTGAACATATAACTAAACTTAGCATGTTTATGACGGGTGCCACCGGTGGGGCAGGATACGCTCACCTCTTCGCGAACACCTGGTATCATCACTATTTCATTGTGATTCATAAACACTGTCATAGTATCGCATGGTGACAATCACTCGATTGTCTGGTTCAGACCCGATTTATTTACAAACAACATCATAAAGCTGTAATACTGCTGAAACAAATATCATGATATAGTCACAATTGTACAATCGACTCTGTTATTTGGCAGAGATTACTTATGAATGTGGAAAGGGTTTTGTCGCTTCTATTTGTAGTGGAATATTCGCATGTATATTTCCCTACGATGAACACACCCGTGTCTGTCTAAGTAGAAACGACAATACCCCTAAGAGGTCTCTGGTACAATTCTGACTACATCGTGAGTATGTGTTTGACGCCGCATTCAGCTGTGTTAGTAATAGTAATTGCCTGCTCACGGCGCTACGTACATTACTATCCCCGGTCATAGGACACTATCGTACTTTCTGATATTTTTTTCAACTCCCTGCGGAGCATACAGCCATGTTGCCTGTAAGGCGTAATGAACTAAACACTCATATATCCAGCACATCCTCACGGATACCCATTTTACAGCCGGGTGAACTGCGACAATGTAGTTTTCAGTATATTGTCCAAGGATACTACGCAAATGTGCCCACCTTGGGACCCGAACCTCCACGGGTGCATCCACCAGGGATCAAACCCGGGCCTTCAGCGTGATAGGCAGACGCCTTACCACTGCTCTATAGCGCTCCACATGAGCTGTACAGCTGCACGATGCAGTCTGTAAACAATCGAACTGAACCAGACAGTCCAGTGATTGACACCTGGAGATACGATGGAGCGTGTAGATGACACACCAGGAGCGTGTAGATGATAAAAAGTGGCACATAATTAGATGAGGCCAGGTGGGGACAAAGAACGACAAATACCACGGGTGATGAAGCCAATAAACAGGTGGGATTACGTTGTGAATACAAGCTGATAGGCTGCTATGAGTCTACAGTCTTATTCTTCGTAGGCTGGTGGTATGTAGTACCCTTAGTATCTTTTGTTCAAAGGTTGTGACGGCGAATTTCGATGGATTCAAAATGTTTTTCGTGAAGTCCTGATTCCTTGTGAAAAGCAAAACAACCATATAAATTAAACTATTTTTAATCTATCAAAAAACATAACTAAAGTAGCAAAACAACAAATGAAATGTATTAATGTTCAAAGGTAATACACATGCTATAACTTGAAATACAACTGTTTTAAAAAGCATAAGGCACAATTTTTGTTTATTTCAACGTTTAGCTTAAAAACGGTGTAATAATCTACATCGAGGCGTCGCGCAATAAACAAGAGGTTGTTATCGATAAAATCATTTCAGTAATCATGAGAACATTCGTATGCTTTCATCCATATCATAAACCCATGTCTCTGAAATGCTGCTTCCCTACACAGAATTTCACAGACCAAGTTCTCGTACATCTGAACATGGAGTTGTAACTCTGGTCATCAGTTCTAGAGACAACGAAACAGGGAATAAGGTTTCCCCTTAAGTTGCGGTGTACAAAGCTGAAAATTCCACAAGAAATGTCATTGATAATTTTAAAGATGATCATAAGGATAAGTATTTGATTTAAGTATTTAAGTACCTTTGCTTGACTCAGGAATGAAGATCATTCTTATTTATTTCGATCTTGAATCGCACATAAGTCGACTAATTAAAAGCAAATACAAAATCACATAGAAAGCATTATTTGAAAGCGTAAAGACATTGCAATAAAACGATATGGTTGAAATAGCACAAATAACATATCTGAATACAAAAAAATATGCACCGTGATAACACGTTATTGAATACAATATTTTCGTTACGGGAAGAACCCTGTGTTTGTGAATAACCATATTTGTTTAGGACAAAAACTTGAGATGAGCTGAAACACTGAGCCATATTTAATCACAATTGAACTTGGGAGCGCACATTTGGTAGACAACATTGCAGTTAGACAACAGTAAAATGAATCACTATAGTTGAACCTGAGGGGATAGGAGTCTCGATTGTGCCCATCTAACTCCTTCTTATCGAATTTGACCACTCTTTAGAACTGTCTGTTGGTTAATATTCCAAGTTGTTTCATAGTCCATAAATAATCCTGTGTAATTATTGTTAAAAAGTGACTTTTTAAAAGCATTTTGTGATGGATAGTTTACCTATGATATAGTTCATATGTACAAATGCGCTCAGATACTAAATTTTATACGAATCTATATGTTCAATTGTTGGCCAGTCATCATTGGTATCTGTTGAAGTTGTAATGTCACCTATGGCTGATTCTGTCATTTCTGATTTTAATCCAATATGAGTTTACATAGTTTCTTGCAAATTATATAATGTCATATCCTGAAATTATCTGCATACCTGTAAAATATATATTCCACAAATCCACTGAGATAGGAATTTGTGAGGTCGTCTCAACTGACTTGGGTTGACGCAGCTGATTACCGTGAGTTACAAGCCTTCTTGCCAGTAACTATCCCTACTTTGGGAATGTCAATTACTATCATTGGGCTCCGAGAAGACTCCTTCATACAGCAGAAAGAAGAATAGTCGATCAGGCAAGACAACTTGAGCTGAGAATAGTTTGCTGAGAGTAAATTACTGGTGTAAGGCAGTTTGTGGATTGACTGTTCAGCTTCAGTACGTTGTGTAGTCTGATCAACTGCGACGGAATTCTGTTAAAAACAAAACAAATACATGTATAGCTATGAGAAATGTCTACATAGGAACTCAAATCAATTGAATCTAATTAATGCAGGAGTCAGCATCTTTCCACCCCAGTATATCCAATTGTACCGCAGGGTTAAATTATACCAGCCTCCATCGCATTGGTTATAGTAAGGAGACACTTCACACTGCTCTGACATATACGATATGGATCCTACTCCTATTGCTAAAATTCAAACGCAGGAAATAACTCTGTTGCAATCAACAAGAGTCTATTGAAATGCGTGCTAACTACCCTTCTCATTTCCTCTCCACCTTAGACGCACAGGTATACTCTGAAGCAAAGGCTGCTTTGTTAGCGATACACTCTATCAATAGTTCTCAGTTTGTCCTACTTGCAGGCGATTAATAGAGGAAAGATGAATATCCAATTTTGGCAGATCAACAGCTTGTTTGTTTCGTTATTGTGTGCTTGGTTCCAAAGCAACAATGCAGTTAAAACTGCTATCACCTCTGATCGGTTGACATTGACGAAAGCAATACTTTTAACCGACAGACTGAATCGGTCTATTTGATTGCCGACACAGATAAACATATTGCCTTTGAGCAATCAGTCAATATAGGAAAGATGATATTTTAGATGATATATGGAAGATTATATTTTAGATCATCTTCTTACTTTCTTACCACATATTAAAGCAGAGTGTTTAAGGGCACTGGATCTGTTGAAAATTGTTTTTGTTCCAAATGTGGAGGAAAACAGTCAACCCTCCTTCACCCATACTGATCACTAATCCGTTCCAAAGTAAAGTATGGCTCCATTATGTATAATGGATTCTGCAAAAGCAGCCTGAAACGTTCAGATTCTGTCCACTCTGTCTTTCTCAACCTTTTCCCATTGAAAGTTTTCTGTTGATGCTGATGAGCTATCGCTTCCGTATACAATTATCTTTGCTGTACATCACTCTGCTGTACATATTCTCGAACGAGTCGAACCCTGTATGTGGCGGTGTGTTAAATCCTCTTTGAGAATAAGATTTGGTTGGTTGGTTGGGTAGCTGTTTATTGCACACAGCAATATTCCAGCTAAATGGCGGCGGTCTGTAAATAATCGAGTCTGGACCAGACAACCCAGTGATCAACAACATGAACGTCGATCTACGCAAGTCAGCGAGTCTGACCACCAAATCGCCTTAGTCACCTTTCACGGGAAGCATGGGTTACCAATTCTAACCTGGACGTTCACGGATCCTCGGAATATAAATTAAACCTTTCATTTCTACTCCATAATATATCCCCTTTACGCTTGCTTCTCTCCTTCTTGGCAATAGGTAAGGCCACTTGTGGATCTTACCTTATCTACATTAAGAAAACCTGAAGCCAGTCAGTTGTACTGCCAGCACTACCGTCAGTGGATCAACTGGATTAGTAACCTAGTAACTCTTCAATTTTACATCTGAATTAAAGACTATTATAAGAGCTATAGTACTTTACATAAACATTCCAAACAGGGAATGCATTATATTTTCAGACATTGTTGTCTTGGGCATTAAAACATTCGTGTCAAAATTTCCTGTTTGACATTCATTTTGTTTCCCTTGTGATGAGAGAACTACATACAAACATGTCCTGCTTGATTGTGTTCATATCCCAGCACAAGGGATCAATATTTCGAGGTTTCAACAATGAACACTTTAACAATATCATCCCTCAATTAATTCCTGTATGTTCAATTTTTAAACAATTGAATTGATTCATACGTTTTCATGTTTATTGTAATATTTTATAAATGAATAGATCTAGTGTTAATAAATAAGATCGTTAGTGGCTATCCCTTTGAGAGGGGTTGAAGTGATATTAAGTACTTGTCCCCATAAGAGTGTATGTAAATTCCACACAATTTGAAGTATTTCTAGTATTTCCAGGCAAACTGGACCTTTAAACGAAGTATATTTAACGTGGTTTCACACCGACTTATTGTGAATAAATTGTGGTGAACATATTTCTTCTCCGAATGTAAGTGTTAACTGTCAACAATGTGTATTTGTTAATAGTACCTTGAGTCCACCTTGATGCGGTATCCCCCTGTACAGTCTTAAAGTCATGGTAAAAACACTCACACTATCGCACCTTCTTCTGTATATCATTTGACCTTTCTACAAATTGTTATAGTTCTCATTACGACTCAAAATGTGTTTTTAACAATAGGCAGTGTGTGAGTGTGCAAAAACATGACATAATTCTGTTATGCTTCCCCCCTTTTGCAGCTGATCATTGATCACATGTCTATGACATTGAGCATGAATATGATGAGTTCATACCAATTTGGCACATAAATGCTTAACAATTTACCCTATTAAAACAGAGATGCAGTACTCTCATATGGTACTACATGCTTGCAGAAAGGAACATGGTTTTCATAAATAGTACGAGTGAATTGCAAACGAAATGAACTTCATTTAAATGCACCAGATAAGAGTACCAGTGAAAGAGTAGGAACAGCCTGTGCATGAGTATCCTAACCATGCCTGTACAACTATTTACTAAGTAACGTAACCATGCCTCAGAGAAAGTAGGATAAATGCAATAATACGTTTTGAGTACCTACAACTACAATGACTCTGACGAGAGTGCTCTGTCTCTGGACCTTGTCCTTTGAACTTCTCATAGAATGTGGCAAACACAATCACAAGATGTATGTAAAATCAGTTCATTGTGAGATATCATCTTATTTCGACCTTTGCTCCGAAATCAAGAGAAAGTAGCCTCAAAGGAAACGCAAATCAAATGGGGTATTTTTGCATGGAATGTACAAAATACTTTCTCAGGGAAGTACAGATTTAGTACTTTTGTTTGGTTGAGTCCCACCCGGGATTCGAGCATACACTATCAGAGTCAGGCACCTGCACACAAAGTCAGCCATCTAATCCACTCTGACAGAGCGGCAAGTCGGACAACTAATTGTCTAGATCACCGACTGTGTGTACCTCTCTGACAAGTGTAAATTCATATCTTTCGGACTTGGGAGCCGTTCCAATCTACGCAAAGTCCGTGATCAAGACTACCAGTTGTCCGACCTCCGTCTCTTCATAGGTCTCCATGAGGTTAATCAGCGTGAATAACCTACCTGTGGTGCCCTGTCACCGGACATGGCGCAAACTGAGCTCGCCTGAGAGCGAAATTGTAAGTTGCAAGACAGCAAAACACAATTATGCTTGCATGCTACGAGAGTGAAAGAGATTTCTTCAAGAGTTCTCCAACAGCCAACTAACACAATCAGACACCGTGTCTTCCATGAATATGAATATCGGACGACTGGCAAGAGATGGCTATTATGTGACATGATGGCAGTATCCAGTTCTTCATGTTGAGACAGTTGCATGGATCATTTGGTCCATATGATGGTAACGATGGTCATATGCCTCGTTACCTCGTCTCCATACGCCACATCGACGGCCGGTAAAGTGTAGAAGCTAGCGACATTCATCAGACAAATTATCCCCACAGCATGTCCTAAAGTTGCACCTGCACCACGCCAGACATTCCTGCCTGTGCCTGTCTGTGAGGAAGGGACGTCTGATCCCTCAGTCCAGCGGCCTTCAGCTTCCTTTTAATTGTACAGTAGAGGTTTGGACTCTCTATTGCCGGCGTATGTCTTTGGCATGGGGCATGGGATAGCATGTTGTCAGACGAACTAGGACTTTGTCATCACATCACGGTCATTGGTCATCCTCGGCCTTCGCCCGTATTGGCTGGGTGCTTGGTCACAAGTCGAGTAATACCCATGTGGTTAATGTTCAAATTAGCACTGATGTTGCAACAGGATATCTCTGCGTCATGCATGCTAAGAACTTACTGTCATGTTTTCTGTGAAAGACTACGTTCATTTTAGTACTGTCGCCTTATAAATAAGTTCAGAAAACTGTAGTGCATATACCGCAGTTATGAAAGTTATACCCTTGGCTTGGCGCCTGCGCAGTACGTGAACAGGCGACCCATAGCTTTTGAGACGTTATTTGAAGCACATGTTTTGCACGTGCGTTTCATAATGCTCAGGTATGATGGCCTGTTTAGATTCAAGTGGTGCCTTATTAATGCTCATATGTATTTTTCGAATTACAGGAAAATACATGCGACTTCGGCATTGCATTTGCTTTAACAGGGTATACGGAATAAGAAGTGAAAATGAGGATAAGTGTTAACAAAACCTCACACCCATTTATTATGAAGCTTTTCCCTGTTATTATATCATGACATTATCAACATATTTCCTATGGTGTCCTAAAGTGTCAGGAAGTGTCCTAGAGTTTCAGGGTTAATTGTAAATCCTATTTCGTTTTAATGTTCCTTTTCCGTTTTTATGTCCATTCCTAGTCCTATTTTTTATTGTTGTGATTTCATGCCATTCCATTGAACCATGTGCTCTGGTCCGCGAGGGGCGGTGGGGTAGCCTAGTGGTTAAAGCGTTGGCTCGTCACGCCGATGACCCGGGTTCGAATCTCCACATGGGTACAATGTGTGAAGCCCATTTCTGGTGTCCCCCGACGTGATGTTGCTGGAATATTGCTAAAAGCGGCGTAAAACTAAACTCAGTCAGTCAGTCAGTCAGTTAGTCAGTCACTCTGGTCCGCGATGAACCTTGTTCAATGTACTGTGCGTAAAAGTGATGTAATTAAACAGCTGTCAAACTGAATCAAATCATGGTCCCCCGAGGCGGAATTTGACAGCTTTCTGAGCCAAATTTCATCATAGTGTCGTGAGTATAACGAACTTACAGTACCTCACACACGCATGTTAAACATTATGAACTTTTGAACTGTTGAAATATAAACTATCGTGAACCTAGATTAATGAGAAGGTCTTCTAGAGAGAGGCGACCGCCTGATTATCTCTCAGATTATGAACTGAACGTATCAAACGTGCTTTCAGAACCGTGCGACCGTACTGTAGCAAAAAAATGTAGTGCCCATAAAATCAATTCAGGGGTCTCGTTGTGGAAGTGTACGAA